ACTGTCAGTTATACACCGTCAGTTATACACCGTCAGTTATACACCGTCAGTTATACACTGTCAGTTATACACTGTCAGTTATACACCGTCATTTATACACCGTCAGTTATACACCGTCAGTTATACACCGTCAGTTATACACCGTCAGTTATACACCGTCAGTTATACACCGTCAGTTATACACTGTCAGTTATACACCGTCAGTTATACACCGTCAGTTATACACCGTCAGTTATACACCGTCAGTTATACACTGTCAGTTATACACCGTCAGTTATACACCGTCAGTTATACACCGTCAGTTATACACTGTCAGTTATACACTGTCAGTTATACACCGTCAGTTATACACCGTCAGTTATACACTGTCAGTTATACACCGTCAGTTATACACTGTCAGTTATACACCGTCAGTTATACACCGTCAGTTATACACCGTCAGTTATACACCGTCAGTTATACACCGTCAGTTATACACCGTCAGTTATACACCGTCAGTTATACACTGTCAGTTATACACTGTCAGTTATACACCGTCAGTTATACACCGTCAGTTTTACACCGTCAGTTATATCACTGTCAGTTTATACACCGTCAGTTATACACCGTCATTATACACCGTCAGTTATACACTGTCAGTTATACACCGTCAGTTATACACCGTCAGTTATACACTGTCAGTTATACACTGTCAGTTATACACCGTCAGTTATACACTGTCAGTTATACACTGTCAGTTATACACCGTCAGTTATACACCGTCAGTTATACACTGTCAGTTATACACTGTCAGTTATACACTGTCAGTTATACACCGTCAGTTATACACTGTCAGTTATACAACGTCAGTTATACACCGTTAGTTATACACTGTCAGTTATACACCGTCAGTTATACACTGTCAGTTATACACCGTCAGTTATACACCGTCATTATACACCGTCAGTTATACACTGTCAGTTATACACTGTCAGTTATACACCGTCATTTATACACCGTCAGTTATACACCGTCAGTTATACACCGTCAGTTATACACACCGTCAGTATACACCGTCAGTTATACACCGTCAGTTATACACCGTCAGTTATACACCGTCAGTTATACACTGTCAGTTATACACCGTCAGTTATACACCGTCAGTTATACACCGTCAGTTATACACTGTCAGTTATACACTGTCAGTTATACACCGTCAGTTATACACCGTCAGTTATACACCGTCAGTTATACACTGTCAGTTATACACCGTCAATTATACACCGTCAGTTATACACCGTCAGTTATACACTGTCAGTTATACAACGTCAGTTATACACCGTTAGTTATACACTGTCAGTTATACACCGTCAGTTTATACACTGTCAGTTATAACACCGTCAGTTATACACCGTCAGTTATACACCGTCAGTTATACACTGTCAGTCATACACTGTCAGTTATACACCGTCATTTATACACCGTCAGTTATACACCGTCAGTTATACACCGTCAGTTATACACCGTCAGTTATACACTGTCAGTTATACACCGTCAGTTATACACCGTCAGTTATACACCGTCAGTTATACACCGTCAGTTATACACCGTCAGTTATACACCGTCAGTTATACACTGTCAGTTTATACACCGTCAGTTATACACTGTCAGTTATACACCGTCAGTTATACACCGTCAGTTATACAACGTCAGTTATACACCGTTAGTTATACACCGTCAGTTATACACCGTCAGTTATACACCGTCAGTTATACACTGTCAGTTATACACTGTCAGTTATACACTGTCAGTTATACACCGTCAGTTATACACTGTCAGTTATACAACGTCAGTTATACACCGTTAGTTATACACTGTCAGTTATACACCGTCAGTTATACACTGTCAGTTATACACCGTCAGTTATACACCGTCAGTTATACACCGTCAGTTATACACTGTCAGTTATACACTGTCAGTTATACACCGTCATTTATACACCGTCAGTTATACACCGTCAGTTATACACCGTCAGTTATACACCGTCAGTTATACACCGTCAGTTATACACCGTCAGTTTATACACTGTCAGTTATACACCGTCAGTTATACACCGTCAGTTATACACCGTCAGTTATACACCGTCAGTTATACACTGTCAGTTTATACACCGTCAGTTATACACCGTCAGTTATACACCGTCAGTTATACACATGTCAGTTATACACCGTCATTATACACCGTCAGTTATACACTGTCAGTTATACACTGTCAGTTATACACCGTCAGTTATACACTCAGTTATACACCGTCAGTTATACACCGTCAGTTATACACCGTCAGTTATACACCGTCAGTTATACACCGTCAGTTATACACTGTCAGTTATACACTGTCAGTTATACACCGTCAGTTATACACCGTCAGTTATACACCGTCAGTTATACACTCAGTTATACACCGTCAGTTATACACCGTCAGTTATAACACCGTCAGTTTATACACCGTCAGTTATACACCGTCAGTTATACACTGTCAGTTTATACACCGTCAGTTATACACCGTCAGTTTATACACTGTCAGTTTATACACTGTCAGTTATACACCGTCAGTTATACACCATCAGTTATACACTGTCAGTTATACACCGTCAGTTATACACCGTCAGTTATACACCGTCAGTTATACACCGTCAGTTATACACCATCAGTTATACACTGTCAGTTATACACCGTCAGTTATACACCGTCAGTTATACACTGTCAGTTATACACTGTCAGTTATACACCGTCAGTTATACACCGTCAGTTATGCACCGTCAGTTATACACCGTCAGTTATACACCGTCAGTTATACACCGTCAGTTATACACCGTCAGTTATACACCGTCAGTTATACACCGTCAGTTATACACCGTCAGTTATACACTGTCAGTTATACACTGTCAGTTATACACTGTCAGTTATACACCGTCAGTTATACACCGTCAGTTATACACTGTCAGTTATACACCGTCAGTTATACACCGTCAGTTATACACCGTCAGTTATACACCGTCGGTTATACACTGTCAGTTATACACCGTCAGTTATACACCGTCAGTTATACACCGTCAGTTATACACCGTCAGTTATACACCGTCAGTTATACACCGTCAGTTATACACCGTCAGTTATACACTGTCAGTTATACACCGTCAGTTATACACCGTCAGTTATACACCGTCAGTTATACACTGTCAGTTATACACCGTCAGTTATACACCGTCAGTTATACACCGTCAGTTATACACTGTCAGTTATACACCGTCAGTTATACACCGTCAGTTATACACTGTCAGTTATACACTGTCAGTTATACACCGTCAGTTATACACTCAGTTATACACCGTCAGTTATACACCGTCAGTTATACACCGTCAGTTATACACCGTCAGTTATACACCGTCAGTTATACACCGTCAGTTATACACTGTCAGTTATACACCGTCAGTTATACACCGTCAGTTATACACTGTCAGTTATACACTGTCAGTTATACACCGTCAGTTATACACCATCAGTTATACACTGTCAGTTATACACCGTCAGTTATACACCGTCAGTTATACACCGTCAGTTATACACCGTCAGTTATACACCATCAGTATACACTGTCAGTTTATACACGTCAGTTATACACCGTCCGTTATACACTGTCAGTTATACACTGTCAGTTATACACCGTCAGTTATACACCGTCAGTTATGCACCGTCAGTTATACACCGTCAGTTATACACCGTCAGTTATACACCGTCAGTTATACACCGTCAGTTATACACCGTCAGTTATACACTGTCAGTTATACACTGTCAGTTATGCACCGTCAGTTATACACCGTCAGTTATACACTGTCAGTTATACACCGTCAGTTATACACCGTCAGTTATACACCGTCAGTTATACACCGTCGGTTATACACCGTCAGTTATACACCGTCAGTTATACACCGTCAGTTATACACCGTCAGTTATACACCGTCAGTTATACACCGTCAGTTATACACCGTCGGTTATACACCGTCGGTTATACACTGTCAGTTATACACCGTCAGTTATACACCGTCAGTTATACACCGTCAGTTATACACCGTCGGTTATACACCGTCGGTTATACACCGTCAGTTATACACCGTCAGTTATACACCGTCAGTTATACACCGTCAGTTATACACCGTCAGTTATACACTGTCAGTTATACACCGTCAGTTATACACTGTCAGTTATACACCGTCAGTTATACACTGTCAGTTATACACCGTCAGTTATACACCGTCAGTTATACACCGTCAGTTATACACTGTCAGTTATACACCGTCAGTTATACACCGTCAGTTATACACTGTCAGTTATACACTGTCAGTTATACACCGTCAGTTATACACCGTCAGTTATACACCGTCAGTTATACACCATCAGTTATACACCGTCAGTTATACACCGTCGGTGTATATTCTCCTGTACTACGATAATATACAAGTAATCACAGGAATTTATATAAACAGTAAAGAATAAAAAGGCTGAGTACAGCGACTGGGACAGTACAGGACACATACTCATGATGACGTTTTCCGTCCTATTTGACCATTAACAAGTCGTATATACATACATACATATAATATAATATATAAGTATATATATATATAAATATATATATATATATATATATATATATATATAAATATATATATAATATATATATAGTATATATAATATATATATATATATATAATATTATATATATATATATATTATATATAATATATATATATATTATGGTCCAAGTCAGACCATAACGTCGCATAAGTTTGTATATGCGGGTTATCTTCGTATTACATAAACAGTCATAGTAAGTCTTAAAGGAGTTCCCGGTGTTTTATACAAGTAATCGCAGCGAATTCAGAGTAATCACAGTGTCCTTAGTTTATATCCGCGTGTTGCTACGACCACGGAACTGGAAGCAGCAGTAGGCCTACTACCCACCTGGATAAGTACCTTCTAGTATTGGGGAAACGCTGCTGTCCTGTCCTTTATATACGCCCCATCCCCATCCCAGGAACCACAGCACCGCTGGTCCGTGATTGGCCGAGAGTACTAACGCATTTTATGGTTATGAAGGACCAGGCGGGGACCCCCTTGGTCCTTGGCAAGACCCAGGGGTGTCAGGGATGAATCCTCCGCCTCCAAGATTCAAGGATGCTGGAGGGTCCGTTCAGGGCCGACCAGTGGTCGCCCTCTCTCTGTTTGCCGAAAATGCCAAGACTTTCTCACGCCTTGTCCGTCCTTCTTTCTCCATCTTTATTGGTGCTGTCTGGTAGGTGGGTCTTACAATACTTCTCTTATTTTATTTTATGTTAGTTGCTTTTTATTTTCTCTACTGTTCTGCTCGTGGTTCATGTGTCGTCTCAGCTCACAATTGAGGGGTCGTAGTTCATGTTTCCTTACACCCGCCCCTTAATCACCTAGCAGCAAGTAGGTACCCGGGTGTTAGCCGACTTTTGTAAGGTCGCATCTTGTGAGAGGATTACGGAAAGGCCAGTGGAGATTAGCCAAAAAAAAAAAAAAAAAAGCCTGATGACAGTGGCTTTGTTGGGTTATTTTAGTTCACTAACCCTACGGGTTAATAATCCTAATATAATCTTCCTCTTCTATATTCTATAGGATCGTACGCAGAGCTTACCTTCCCAGTTTCAGGTCGCAGTGTTGTCTCTATCGTGAAGACTTCGTGGCAGCTTTGAGAGAGCCCTTAGTAATGTTTACCTGCCATTCTCAGTGAATGATCCTTCTCTCCCCCCCCCCCCCAGCTTCTCCCTATCATTCTCAGCGAGTTCTTCCCTTCTCCCTCTTCCTATCCTCCTATGTAAGTGACCCTCTCCCCTCCAAATCCTCCTCTTCCTCTTACTATGAGTCCATCCCACCTCTTCATTGTTTTTACTGGTTGCGTGATCATTTACCGCTAGTTGTTTTAACTGATGTCACTGTGACGTTGTTTTAACTGATGTCACTGTGATGTTGTTTTAACTGATGTTTTGGTTTATTCGTTGTCTTCATTACTCTGTCATTTTCGTACTGTTTGTTGCTTCCCATTCTGATTTGAAGGAATTCATTTCCAGCAACATCAGCAGCAACGATTGTAGCAGCAAAAGTAACAACGAAAGCATCAACAACAGCAAAAGCAACAACAGCAGCAACAGAAGCAATTACTACTGCAGCAGCAACTACAGTAACTACGAAAGTAGGAATAGCAACATCAGGGGACATGAGGGGGAGGATACATGATCATGTTAGACAACACTGGCCAGGCTCTAGAGGCCTTGACAAAACACATCCTCTATAGCCTTAGGGTGTGTGGAGTGGGTCTTCCACACACCTGCTCCCAGGTGTAAGCCCAAACCTCCCAACCAGGGTGTGTGGAGTGTGTGTCCGACCACACCTGCACCCAGGAGTAAGCTCGAACCTCTCAACCAGGGTGTGTAGAGTGGGTCTCCCACCAGGCTTATAAACAAGTGGATGAGTGGATGAAATTGGGCAAGGTGACTGATGTTGTGTGCTTGCGAAGTTTCCAAATACCTAAGATTTGAGTCAAGATGGGTCAAGAGCTGAGTCTCGACCCTCAAGACTTCTATCTACCTAACCACGGAATGCGTGGGGTTTGAACCCATATCGTTCAAACCTCACCCGTTCCCTGGTTTGTCTGCAGTCGTGTATTACGATTTCGTGAGTTCAATCCACCTGATGGGTGAAGGCAGTGGAAAGATACATGTAGCAGAAGAAATCTTTGCGGGGACGACATTTCGCTCCAAAGGCACAGAAAAACGGTTCTCCTTAGAGCGAGACGTTGTTTATTGAGGGACGTGTTGTGTTACATGAGTCTTCACTATTGTCTTCTTCTTGATGGTTCTGGGAGTCAGTGCTGTTACCCGGTTCTGAACCAGGGCTCCTGGTTGATGGCCTGATCAGTCAGGTTATTAATGTTAGCAGCACGCTAGTCAACGTAAGTCCTGCATCCCGGCTGATCAGGAAGTGCCCGGGATAACTCGTCTTTTTTGTCATCCTCTGACGATGTGTCTCGTCATCTGACATTTCTAAGCTCCAAGTCACCCTAATACACCTCATCGTTTTCTCACTTTCTCCTACCGACACCTTTCAAGTTCCCATATCTGATGAGCCTTTAATGGAATACTTTATGTAACCCATGTATGGAGCCTTTGTATGTAACCCATCCTGTGTGATGGAATACGACAGGGAACTTGGCCTGTTTGTGTACCCACTATGTAACCATCATACAGAATACGGTAGCACCACATTGCTAGTGTATCCAATATAAGTAATTTACACATTTGTTAAACTATGTATGATAATTGTTCTTATATGTACCTGTAAATAAACTTAAGTAAAAAAAAAATGGTCACCTGTCCTGTCTGGAGGACAGAACACAAGGCAGATGATCCGACTGACCTCTAGTGAGCGTTGTTTACCTTGAAGATTCACCTCGACCAGGAGAAGGAGAGAGAGGGGGAGGGAGATGTGAAGGAGAGAGAGAGAGTGAAGGAAGCTTGAGAGAGAGTGAAGGAAGCTTGAGAGAGAGTGAAGGAAGCTTCAGAGAGAGTGAAGGAAGCTTGAGAGAAAGTGAAGGAAGCGTGAGGGAGAGAATGTAGGAAGCGTGAGAGTGAAGGAAGCGTGAGGGAGAGAGTGAAGGAAGCGTGAGGGAGAGTGAATGAAGCGTGAGGGAGAGAGTGTAGGAAGCGTGAGGGAGAGAGTGAAGGAAGCGTGAGGGAGAGAGTGAAGGAAGCGTGAGGGAGAGAGTGTAGGAAGCGTGAGAGTGAAGGAAGCGTGAGGGAGAGAGTGTAGGAAGTGTGAGGGAGAGAGTAAAGGAAGCGTGAGGGAGTGTAGGAAGCGTGAGGCAGAGAGTGTAGGAAGCGTGAGGGAGAGAGTGTAGGAAGCGTGAGGGGGAGAGTGTAGGAAGCGTGAGGGAGAGCGTGTAGGAAGCGTGAGGGAGAGAGTGTAGGAAGCGTGAGGGTGAAGGAAGCGTGAGGGAGAGAGTGTAGGAAGCGTGAAGGAGAGAGTGTAGGAAGCGTGAGGGAGAGAGTGTAGGAAGCGTGAGGGAGAGAGTGTAGGAAGCGTGAGGGAGAGAGTGTGAGTAGCAGGTAGCGGCAGCCTACACACCCTACAACTCTCTCGCAGGAAGTTGTTAAGAGGAAAAAGGTGAAAGTATTGGGGAACTCCATATAAAAAAAAGTGGTCTGGGGATAAAATCACTTTCACACAGACGAAACAGCTAAAGTGTTCAAGCCTCTCCAGCTCATCCACTGACACTGGGTAGCGGGTGATGGATGAGTAACCACGCCTAGCAAGGAAGAAAATGAAAGAAGCCCCTGACTATCTTTGTATTATGGACACCGGAGAGTTAGTAACCCAGGATAACCAAGGATCCCAATGGAAACGCATCAGTATGTTAGCTGGGAAAACGGCTCTGTGTATGTATGTATGTGTATAATCACCTAAACACACCGTGTCTTCCTTTGCAGATGACACCCGAATTTGCATGACAGTGTCCTCCACTGAAGACACTGCAAGACTCCAGGCGGACATCAACCAAATCTTTAAATGGGCCGTAGAAAACAATATGAATTTCAATGAAGAGAAATTTCAATTACTCCGATATGGAAAACGTCAAGAAATTAAAACTATATCGGAATATAAAGCAAATTCCAACCACGCAACAGAGTGAAAAACTAATGTAAAAGACTTGGGAGTGATAATGTCAGCGGATCTCACTTTCAAAGACCACAATATTGTGTCAGTCGCATCTGCTAGAAAAATGACAGGATGGATAATGAGAACCTTCAAAACTAGGGATGCCAAGCCCATGATGACACTCTTCAGGTCGCTTGTTCTATCTATGCTGGAATATTGCTGCACACTAACAGCACCTTTCAAGGCAGGTGAAATTGCTGACCTAGAAAATGTACAGAGAACCTTCACGGCGCGCATAACGGAGATAAAACACCTCAATTACTGGGAGCGCTTGAAGTTCCTGAATCTGTATTCCCTGGAACGCAGGCGGGAGAGATATATGATTATTTACACTTGGAAAACCCTAGAGAGATTAGTACCACATGTGCACACAAAAATCACTCCCTGTGAAAGCAAAAGACTCTGCAGGCGATGCAACATCCCCCCAGTTAAAAGCAGGGGCGCCACTAGAACGATAAGAGATAACACAATAAATGTCAAGGGCCCAAGACTTTTCAGCTGCCTCCCAGCATATATAAGGGGGATTACCAATAGGCCCCTGGCTGTCTTCAAGAAGGCTTTGGACAGGCACCTAAAGTCAGTACCTGATCAGCTGGGCTGTGGTTCGTACGTCGGTTAACGTGTGGCCAAAGGTAACAGTCTGGATGATCAGGCCCTGATTCACCATGAAGTCTGGTCATAGACCTGGCCGCGGGGGCGTTGATCCCCGAAACCCTCTCCAGGTGTATATGGTTGCAGGGGTCGATTCACAGCTCCTGGCCCCGAATGTGTACGTGTGTGTGTGTGAAATCAAACAATAGTTTATATGAATGTTGAATATAATTATCAGTAATGCTTGGCTGGCCTGGGGACTGGGAGCCTGCCAGTGGTGGGAGCTGCGTAGATCCTCTGCCACCAGGGGCGTAGGGTCATCATCGTCCCTCAAAAGCAGTTGACCTTACTAAGCTGAGGTACTGGAGGCGGCTTCCTGTTGATATTTTGAGAGAGAGAGAGAGAGAGAGAGAGAGAGAGAGAGAGAGAGAGAGAGAGGAGAGTGGGGGGGGGGGGGGGGAGGAGGGAAAGAGAGCATTATAATGTCAACGAGATAAAGTCAGTTGATCAAATGAAAATGCTGGCCCACAGATGGCTCCAACTTCATGCTGTTCCCTACTTGTATGTTTCATAACAATAAAAATGCTTTCAAATGAGCTGATGTAGGTAACAGCTCTTAGCTTGTCAATAAAGTTAGGGATCCTTAACCTAAAAAAAACAGAGAGAGAGAGAGAGAGAGAGAGAGAGAGAGAGAGAGAGAGAAAAAAGAGAGAGAAAGAGAGAGAGAGAGAGAGAGAGAGAGAGAGAGAGAGAGAGAGAGGGGAGAGAGAGAGAGAGAGAGAGAGAGAGAGAGAGAGAGAGGAGAAGAGAAAGAGGAGGAGAGAGAGAAGAGGAGAGAGAGAGAGAGAGAAGAGAGAGAGAAAGAGAGAGAGAAAGAGAGAGAGAGAGAGAGAGAGAGAGAGAGAGAGAGAGAGAGAGAGAAGAGAGAGAGAGAGAGAGAGAGAGAGAGAGAGAGAGAGAGAGAGAGAGAGAGAGACGCAAACCACAGGTTCTTAAGGACTAAATGTATTATTATTGTTGTTGTTTTCGTAGCATTCGTCCTTAACACGGACCTTCACGGTCCTGAACCCGAGAACAAAAATTATCGTTGAAATAATCGCTAAACTTAAAACAATATGATGTTCAGTGAGGACAAATTTCAATTACTTCACTATGGAAGAATGTAGGTAATAAAAACAAGATCGGAAGTTAGTTTAGTTAGTTTAATATGTTTATTATGCACCCCATACCCATCCTGTGGGCGGTAGTCAAAAGATTACAGAGGTACATAATTGGTCCAGGGACTGGACTCCAAAGTTTTGATAGCTGAGCAAGTTACAGAGGTAATGAACTCACAATTTACAAAGGTAATGAACTCACAATTTACAAAGGTAATGAACTCACAATTTACAAAGGTAATGAACTCCAGGTAAGTCTGGTCACAATCATGACAAGTTACAAAGGTATCAATACAAGACAAATTCAAACCACTCAATGGAACATAATTCAAATGTGAGAGACCTGGGAGTGATAATGCCAGATCTCACGTTCAAGGAACACAATAATGTCACTGTCGCAACTGCATGAAAAATGATAGAGTTGGATAACTAGAATCTTCAAAATAAGAGATATCAATGGAAATAAATGGTATAAAATACCGACACAATGGAGGATCACGTTATACTGCATATGTGTTTATATTTCCAAGAGATATCAATCCAGTGATGACTCTTCAGGTCATCTAGGCTGGAATATTACTCCGTACTAACTGCCCCCTTCATGGCAGGCGAAACTGCCGAGATGGAGAATATGCAGAGAACCTTCATAGCTCGCATAAACTCAGTCAAGTACCTAAATTACTGGGAGAACTTGAAATCCTTTGAACTTTACTCACTGAAACGTAGGCAATTCGTAGCCATCTTGATAGTCATAAATTGATGAATGAATCTCAACACGGTTTTACTAAGGGGCGTTCCTGTCTTACGAATTTACTAAATTTTTTTTGCTAGGGTGTTTGAGGAGGTAGATCATGGTAATGAATATGATATTGTGTATATGGATTTCAGTAAGGTTTTCGATAGAATTCCACATCAGAGACTTTTGAGAAAACTTAAGGCACACGGAATAGGAGGAAAATTTTTTTCCTGGGTAGAGGTGTGGTTGACAAATAGGCAGCAGAGTTTGCATAAATGGGGAGAAATCAGAGTGGGGGCACGTCACGAGCAGTGTTCCTCAGGGGTCAGTGTTGGGCCCGTTGTTGTTCACAATTTACATAAGTGATATAGATGAAGGAATAAATAGCGACATAAGCAAATTTGCTGATGACACCAAAATAGGCCGTCCAGTTCATTCTATTGAGGACATTAGTGCACTCCAGGATGATTTGAATAGACTGATGCAGTGGTCGGAGAAGTGGCAGATGCAGTTTTATATAGACAAATGCAAAGTTCTAAATGTTGGACAGGACAATAACCACGCCACTTATAAACTGAATAGTGTAGCTCTTAATATTACTGATTGCGAAAAGGATTTTGGAGTTCTGGTTAGCAGTAATCTGAAACCAAAACAACAGTGCATAAGTGTTCGCAATAAAGCTAACAGAATCCTTGGTTTCATATCAAGAAGTGTAAATAATAGAAGTCCTCAGGTTGTTCTTCAACTCTATATATCCTTGGTTAGGCCTCATTTAGATTATGCTGCGCAGGTCTGGTCACCATATTACAGAATGGATATAAATGCTCCGGAAAACTTACAGAGAAGGATGACAAAGTTGATCCCATGTATCAGAAATCTTCCCTATGAGGATAGACTGAGGGCCCTGAATCTGCACTCTCTCGAAAGGCGTAGAATTAGGGGGGATATGATCGAGGTGTATAAATGGAAAACAGGGATAAATAAATGGGATGTAAATAGCGTGCTGAAAATATCCAGCCAAGACAGGACTCGCAGCAATGGTTTCAAGTTGTAAAAGTTCAGATTCAGGAAGGACATAGGAAAGCACTGGTTTGGTAATAGAGTTTACCTGGAGTTTACCTGGAGAGAGTTCCGGGGGTCAACGCCCCCGCGGCCCGGTCTGTGACCAGGCCTCCTGGTGGATGAGTGGAACAAACTCCCAAGTACTGTCATAGAAGCTAAGACCTTGTGTAGTTTTAAAAATAGGTTGGATAAATACATGAGTTGGTGTGGGTGGGTGTGAGTTGGACCTGACTAGCTTGGGCTACTAGGTCTTGTGCCGTGCTCCTTCCTTAAGTGGAAGTGACCTGACTAGGTGGTCATTGTTCTAGGCCGGGGGGTGGCATGGACCTGCTTCGCATGGGTCAGTAGGTCTGTTGCAGTGTTCCTTCTGTCTTATGTTCTTATGTAATATACGCCAAGGAGATACTGAAGGGGTTGATCCTAAACCTGCATACTGAAATTACTACATGTGAACAGAGGAGGCCTGGCAGGGGGTGCAGGATACCTGCAGTCAAAAACAGGGAGGCAATGAGTACACAGAAAGAGAACTCAGTAAGTGTTAAGGGACCACGACTCTTCAACAGACTTGCTTCATACATAAGGGAAAATTACCATCAAACACCTACCTGTCTTCCAGGGGGAAATCGACAAATTCCTCAGAACAGTTCCTGATCAAGGGGTTGTGGTGCATACAATGGACTGCTGGTGGCTGGCACTAACAGCTTCATCGATCAAGCCAGCAGCCAGGAGGCCTGGTTTGGGACCGGGTCGCAGATGCGGTGAGCTCCAGAAACAACTCCAGGTAAATCCGTATGGGTGGTACATCAGAGCTAGGAATACAGTTATGATGCTCGCTTGATGTTTACAACAAAGTTCTTCTCTCTTTTATGATACAATAAATCACAGTTTATTAAACCTCTGTACAAATTTTAATTTGCGTAAATTAGGCTTAACAAAAGCCTCTCAAGAGAGATTTGAATAATTTCAACATAAGGTAATTCCTTCGTTGATATTTTTCAGTTGGAAAATATAAAATGCTAGAAGAATCTCTCTGAGTCTGTTGTTGTGGTCGTATGAGTCTGGTACCCTGGTCGTGTGAGACTGGTATCTTTGTTGTATGAGTCTGGTACCCTGGTCGTGTGAGACTGGTATCTTTGTTGTATGAGTCTGGTACCGTTTTCCTACGAGTCAGGTACCGATTTATTTAGCATAGTCATGGGTGATCATTTTCGACGACAGAGAGGAGTGAGGGATGTGGGTGGCAGGAATTTAATGGTAGTCTTGGCGTCTATTTTGGTGTTGAGAAATATCTCCGACTCTCCAATTACTTACTGAAGCTGGCAGGTGCCCTGCTCTGGGGTCGAAGATTCCCTGAGTCATTGTGAAACAAGTTACGATCCCTTAACGCTGGACCTCAAGACAGTTTTACGACTCACTGTGGAATGTCTCGGACCAGAAGACCTCAAAGGCCTGTAGGGCGGCTGAATTGAGATAGGGAATCGTGGAGATGGAAAGGAGGAAGAGGAGGAGGTGGAATATAAAGGATATATGAGTTATTTTTTTTTATAGTTAATATACACAATACAGTACGAGTGAAGGGTTGAACCTGTCATAACCATGAAGTCAAGCCAGTACTAATGGTATCTGTCCCATTCAGTCTCGCTGGCATATTCTTCATGTTTTCACACTATTTCACGTTCGCTGAAGAAGAATAAAAAGACGAAGAAGAAAAAAAGAAGAAGAAAAGAAGAAAAAGAAAAAGGGAATAACCTGGGATACGCCAATGCTCCGCTCTCAAATTCCTGACTCTTCCGGTGGTCATGTAATACGCTAGACAGAGATAGTTGTCCTATCCTCTGCCACACTATAAGTAGAGATCACCGAGGCAGACTCTTCAGTACTTTCTCCAGCTGCACAGGAGAAGCAGTAGAGTGGGAGAGGATCGTCGCTCTCTTTTTCTTTATAAGTGTTCAGTAAGGCGAGGGAGAATATGAAGTTGAATTCCTAGAACACATCGACATATATCAAGGACACACCGGCAGGTAATTCAAGCTCGCAGGAGGGAAGCTGTAACTCTATATTTCTAAGATATATGAGCTTTTTTTTTTTAGTTTAATATCTTTTATTATGCACCTCATACTCATCAAGTGGGCGGTAAGTCAAAAATATTACAGAAGTACATAATGGGTCCAGGGACTGGACCACAAAGTTTTGATAGCTGAACAAGTTACAGTGGTAATGAACTAGTTATGTTTATATCTGAAACAATCGTAATGAGTTATTCATGCAGACATCAGTTAGGTCATACACATGCAAAAAAAGTAGTAATGCTTTATTTACAGTGAGCAAAGTCAGGGTATTTTTCCAGAATGGTTTGTAATATACCACTGTGGATAAAATACTTTGACATATCTTAAACATTTCTGAGTGAGTTGTTTCTAATTCAATCATTTTTAACGCATTCTAGTACATAATGACGCAAGGTGTGACAATTGTCCAGCTGGCAAAGTTTGCATTTCGTTTGGTCTACATCTGGCAGTGGTGATTTAACCTGCCAAAGATACTTGTAACCCAGCCGGAGCCGGGCAGTAGTTGCATCTTATTTTGTAAGACGCACCATAGGCATATTGCTCCGTATGTGACAGACCTAGTATTCATGTAGGGTTTATAGAATCCTTGACGGTTTACGCCGTATTGAGGTCCACAAACCTTGCCGTCAAGACCACACTGCTCCAGTGTAAGGAAACTCTGGTCATGATGGAGGTTTTCAACTGCTGCGTGGAGGGGGCCAGTGTAATGTGGTGTATCATATTCACAAAACCTACTGGTATCAGTTCTATGCTTAAAATACCTCCAAGGAAAGATTCCTTCATTTAATTCATTAAAAAGGTCGATTAACCCGCCCGCTTCTCCTCCTCAAGACTTATACCATAATAACAGTGAGAAACGATACTATGTTTTTTTATTTAAAACTTTTTTTTTCGCACATAAATGGTAGACAATAGCGACAAGATGAAGAATTAGACACATGTACAACATCTGGGGTATCTTATTTGTAGACGACTCACCAAACAGTGACTTTATCAATACAATACAAGGATATAATGTGAAGTATGTTGAACTATGTATTTCTACTCACCAAACAGTGACTTTATCAATACAATACAAGGATATAATGTGAAGTATGTTGAACTATGTATTTCTACATTATATCATTGTATTAATAAAACCCCTGACTGTTAAAACGTCTACCAATAAAGATACTCAGATGTACACTCTTTCAATTCTTCAGCTTTTCTTCGGAGAGAAAACCAATAATTTTATAGTGATGTCAACAAAAATTGAATAAAAACTTGAGAGAATTCTTTTTTTCGCTTATAACTTGAAAATGCCTCATCTAATACGACCTCAAATTTTCACCGCTGATGTATCGTAACCAGGAAAATGTTCATACAACCATAGTGGTGTGTAGGCGCCCCTCTGGTCAGTGTCCAGTCTTGGTGTTGTGAGATAACCTGAGAAAGCTTCTTCTGATTGGCCGGGATTGTTTTGTTATGGTAGTGAGTACCTGGCAATTTGCCAATTTCATTTTTAAGAGAATTGGTAATTTTTCCAGTAAAATATCTTTACTATGCCTATTTTGAATGGCTTATGTCACTAATGACTGAGAATATTAAGAGAAGAATAATACCTATAAATTTAGGATGAATAGGCGCAAAATTGGCAATATGTTATCATAGTTAAAAAAAATTTGGAATCAATTAATTCCAAGTAAAAGCTGGAGAATGCCTCTTCTGGTAGGCTTTAAACTTTTAACGGTAGTTTAATTTGCTCAAAGGAAGGATCGTGTTCTAATTGGGCTTCCCAAGCCCAAATCTGTCACTTTTATTCTAACATTTAACGCTGGTGAATTTTATGAGGAGGGTTTTCTACGAGCCTAGGCTGTCGGTCCATCTGGGTGAACAATGTACCTGTCAGGAGTCTACCTGTGTTTAATGGTGTGGAAGAACTTAATGGCCTTTGTTCTATATTCGATGAAATGTGTTAGGTATCGTAACCCGGAAAAGATCTTATGTACGTAACTGAATTCTTCCGGGAAAGCAGTGCTCGAGATTCTACCAGCGCTTCTTAGTACAACTTGCGTCATGATGTGAGAGGCGGCAGTATTGTAATCATTATTGTTTTTAGGTTTTCTGTGGTCTCCCAGTCCAGTTTTTGGTCATATTCCTTGTAAGGTGGAAGGAACTAAGCTTATGAGAGTTGGAGATATCTCTGTCGGATAGCGCGGCGACCAATACCCATCTAGTTTATTATTTATTTCATGAAGAAAGCGTAACCTGTGTGGGTCATTAAACGAAATGAGTAGTGGAGGCTCGATCCTTCGTTAACTAACGTTAGCTCGGTGTCTGTCCAGACAGGCTGTTGCTGCTGACATCATGAAGCTGGTAGTGGCTGTGGTGTTGCTGTGTGTCGCAGTGTCTGCTAGGATGCCCTACGTGCTGCCTGACGGCTTCCAGAACATCCTGAAAGGGCGCCCTCTCGCCACCACCTTCTCCTGCCACAATCGCGCCTATGGTTACTATGCCGACGTAGACAACGAATGTGTTGTTTTCCACGTCTGTCAGCCAATCACTGGCATTGCTGGGGAGGTAAGCAAACTCGCGTCTGTCAGTGTTGCTATAATGATTGGTAAGGAAGTCTCACATCTGTCTGCTGCTGGTGATGGTTGGAAACTAAACAACTTTCACTCTCTGGCTGGTTATGGCGATACAAGAAACCTGACTGACCACTTCACCGCATAATGATTCGATGATAATGAGGGCACCGATGACTGTTGATGAAGAACCTCGAGATGAATCTTGCAGCCTCCTTCAGTGGCTGTAACAGTACTCATCTCTTCCCTGCCTCTCTCCCTGCCTCGGTAGGTGTGTGCAGGTATTTCTGAGGCGGCCGAGGTTCACTCTGAGGAAGGGAGGGAACACGCCACGAGTTTCCCCAGCAACTCCAAATTACTAATATTCAAGAGTTTAATATGTATTTGCCTTCAGCATACGCTAAACACTTATGGGTCATTCTTCCTTGTTCTATATAAAGAAAATCAAGTCTAGGGTCAGGGATGAGTTGAAACACAACAGGTAAAGTTAATGTCCTATAATTAAGAATTAGTAATATATTTATAAATACGGTATGTATGTTGTTATCCTACAAAACAACATATATACTTGCCCATCCCGTGCAGGTCTGTCTCTAATACAACCTCCTCAGCATTCTCCACCTGACCCTCCACCCTATGTGTACACTCATGTACTATTCACCCAGGTAGATTTGTTTGTGATTTGATAAAGCCCACTATGTGAGCGAAACGTAGTCAATAAAGGATCCCATTATATTGCATTTGTGTCTATTTTTTCACGGAAGACCATTCCATCTGACCCATGTGCGAGCTTGTGACGAACTAATCAGGATTCAGACTACCTTGCGGTGGCAGTAGTTCAGCAATACTGTTACCCCTACGTAAATAAACATATTGAATATATAAAGCAGTATAAAATATATCTGAATAATATGCAATATACAGTGAACACACATTGCTGGTAAACTTAAGACAAGTCGTAACGAACGTGAGCAGCAAGCTTCACTGAGCCAGGAAGCTTACAAATACGAAGATTTTACAAACATATCTGTGACCTGTCTGTATCAGCGGCACCAACTGTGATGTGCTGTCTCTTTCTACAGCTCAAGAAGCTTTCGTGGTACCTTTATTGTCATTCCCCTTAATGAGAAATAGTCCACAACTTCTTGAGTTTGTGGATTCTTAGGCTATGGACTACGTGGCTTTGAGGGGTATAAAAAGAGATGTACCATGTGAAAACTTCTGAGGCTGTGGGAGAAGACAATAGGGTCGCAGTTGGTGCCGCTGGTACAACCAAGTCACAGAAGTGCTCTTTGTAAAATTTTCCTGTTGTAAGCTTCGTGACCCAGGTACAGCGTGGGGCCTGCTACTGCCACAACCACGTCTCGAATCCCCATACATTCACCTGTTTTTTCCACACAATGCTAACTGTAAGTTTAATAAAACCCTCGTGGTAATGAAACAGACCTAAAATACAATACTAAGAGTAATAGTAAAGTGCCTTTAATAATAGTGAATCTTATTATTTTTAGTTTCTTAACAAAGACACTTGGTTGCAGGTGCTGGAGGTAGCTCACTTCTCCTTCATCTGTGGCCAGGGTAGTATCTTCAGTCAGAAGTCCCTCACCTGCGCATTCCCCAGCGAGGCCTTTCCCTGCTCCGAGGCTCCGACCCTCTACAGTTTCTCCAACGATGGTATTGGAGACGATCCAGACAATGGTGTTGACATTATTGACATAGTCGACGTCCGTAATGTTCCAATTTGAGTTGAATTCGATGGCATCGAAGCCAAAGCTTCATATTTTAAAAGGTAATCTTAAATGTTATCTAAAATAAAATGTATTTTAACTATATTACACTGTTCTTTCTATATAAATACCATTTTCTATACAAAGAACGAAAACAACCCAGAACAAAGAATATCATTTTAGGAAGTCCACACACTACGCTTATACTAACTATGGCATGTAACAAGAAATGAATCTTGAATTTATGAATCAAAGCATCATGATGATTAAAAAGTATAATTGGAGTCAGGGTTTTGAGCCAGTGGCAGTAATATATTAAAAGTAATACTAGAGACGGAGAGAAGACAGCAACAAGAAGAGTAACTACCCTCCAGGACTCAGACAGCAACAAGAAGAGCAACTACCCTCCAGGACTCAGACAGCAACAAGAAGAGTAACTACCCTCCAGGAGTCAGACAGCAACAAGAAGAGTAACTACCCTCCAGGACTCAGACAGCAACAAGAAGAGTAACTACCCTCCAGGACTCAGACAGCAACAAGAAGAATAACTACCCTCCAGGAGTCAGACAGCAACAAGAAGAGTAACTACCCTCCAGGAGTCAGACAGCAACAAGAAGAGTAACTACCCTCCAGGACTCAGACAGCAACAAGAAGAGTAACTACCCTCCAGGAGTCAGACAGCAACAAGAAGAGTAACTATCCTCCAGGAGTCAGACAGCAACAAGAAGAGTAACTATCCTCCAGGAGTCAGACAGCAACAAGAAGAGTAACTACCCTCCAGGACTCAGACAGCAACAAGAAGAGTAACTACCCTCCAGGAGTCAGACAGCAACAAGAAGAGTAACTACCCTCCAGGAGTCAGACAGCAACAAGAAGAGTAACTACCCTCCAGGAGTCAGACAGCAACAAGAAGAGTAACTACCCTCCAGGAGTCAGACAGCAACAAGAAGAGTAACTACCCTCCAGGAGTCAGACAACATCAAGGTCTGAACCGGACGAAAGTGATTTCGGTAGTCACCTTACTGACCTACGTATGGAAGAGTCAGTATACCCACGACATTAATACACCTGCAGTCCTTCTTCACTTAGTATTAAGCAGGTACCTTGTTAGCCGACTGTTGTGGATGGCATCCTGGGAAAGAGAACCATAGGACTCCAATGGAAGGAAGCCACACTGGCTTTCATGGGTTATCCTGGGTTCCTAATACTGTACAGTTACCTCCCCAGAACAGTGTATACTTACACTTATCTTACAAACTTACTTTTAAGACCACATTGAGAAGAGCTGTAGCAGTCATATGAACAGTTTAACATCAAATTCAACTGTTGCCAAACATGTATTGTGCTCCTAAAAAAATCTTTCTACTTCTTTTTTTTCTTCTTCTTCTTCTTCTTCTTCTTCTTCTTCTTCTTCTTCTTCTTCTTCTTCTTCTTCTTCTTCTTCTTCTTCTTCTTCTTCTTCTTCTTCTTCTTATTATTATTATTATTATTATTATTATTATTATTATTTTATTAGCACACTGGCCGATTCCCACCAAGGCAGGGTGGCCCGAAAAAGAAAAACTTTCACCATCATTCACTCCATCACTGTCTTGCCAGAAGGGTGCTTTACACTACAGTTTTTAAACTGCAACATTAACACCCCTCCTTCAGAGTGCAGGCACTGTACTTCCCATCTCCAGGACTCAAGTCCAGCCTGCCGGTTTCCCTGAACCCCTTCATAAATGTTACTTTGCTCACACTCCAACAGCACGTCAAGTATTAAAAACCATTTGTCTCCATTCACTCCTATCAAACACGCTCACGCATGCCTGCTGGAAGTCCAAGCCCCTCGCACACAAAACCTCCTATTATTACTGCAGAAGCAGTAATAATAGTTGTTGTAGTAGTAGTAATATTATTGATGATGATAATGATGATAGAACACAAGGCTGAGAGAATGGATCGGGAATACACAAAAACCAATTATTTAATTTCTTTTAATACTTTCTTCCGGTCGGTTACACTCCGTAAAAGAATACAATCACCGTTGTACATTGCCATATACATACAGTGTTGTGTTATACATAACGCTGTTATTCACAATCATAGATAAGGGGGATCACGTATTTACCTGGGGTTGAACTTAAGCAGCCACTTGTCTGACCAAATCTTGCAGATAGTCCAATGCCTTTTTTGGAGTCTTTGCCCTGTCCCCTCCTGCTTTTTTAAGTCTCCCAATTAGGTCTGCATCGCCAGGAAACAAGAAAATATCTGCTTCAGTTCTATCTGGCATGTTACTCACGTTAACCAGAACAGCACTGGGCCTAATACTGATCCTTGTGGCACCCCGCTTGTTACTCCTACCCCATTCTGACGTCTCTCAGTCACACTGTTACCTTCCCCTGAGGTACTCTTCTTGTATTGTGGTGTGTGTGTGTGTGTGTGTGTGTGTGTGTGTGTGTGTGTGTGTGTGTGTATGTGTGTGTGTATGTGTGTGTATGTGCAAGTCTTGTATATTTTTTTAGTGTATATACATATGTAGTCTGAATGTATGTATACACATGAATCTTTTACTATGCATATATGTAATTTTTAGTACTGTATATGGATGGTAAAGTTTTGGTCAGGAAACAGGTCAAGTGTTTCATGACGTGAGTCATATATGATGTGGCCCGCCGTTGGAGCTTTTGGTCACCTGATCGAGGCCTTCCGCTGGCTTACCGTATATACTGACTTTTCTTTATATATTGTGAAGGACTGAGTAAGGAGGGGGGTTAGAAGATTTAAAACAAACGATATATTCTGGGAGACGCGGGAGGAGGCATTAAGAACTGTGTGTGATCATTATGTTTGGTTTTTCTAGTACCTTAGCTGAATACTGTTTAAAACACTATATACCTGTGTATGTTTTGTGTGTATGTATCCCTTTTGTTTGTTTTGTGCTCATCCTTGTGTTTGTTTTGTGTTTATCCTTGTGGTTATGTTGTGTTTATCCTTGCGTTTGTTTTGTGTTTATCCTTGTGTTTGTTTTGTGTTTATCCTTGTGTTTATGTTGTGTTTATCCTTGCGTTTGTTTTGTGTTTATCCTTGTGTTTGTTTTGTGTTTATCCTTGTGTTTGTTTTGTGTTTATCCTAGTGTTTATGTTGTGTTTATCCTTGTGTTTTTTTTGTGTTTATCCTAGTGTTTATGTTGTGTTTATCCTTGCGTTTGTTTTGTGTTTATCCTTGTGTTTGTTTTGTGTTTATCCTTGTGTTTATGTTGTGTTTATCCTTGCGTTTGTTTTGTGTTTTATCCTTGTGTTTGTTTTGTGTTTATCCTTGTGTTTATGTTGTGTTTATCCTTGCGTTTGTTTTGTGTTTATCCTTGTGTTTGTTTTGTGTTTATCCTTGTGTTGTTTTGTGTTTATCCTTGTGTTTTGTTTTGTGTTTATCCTTGTGTTTGTTTTGTGTTTATCCTTGTGTTTGTTTTGTGTTTATCATTGTGTTTATGTTGTGTTTATCCTTGCGTTTGTTTTGTGTTTATCCTTGTGTTTGTTTTGTGTTTATCCTTGTGTTTGTTTTGTGTTTATCCTTGCGTTTGTTTTGTGTTTATCCTTGTGTTTGTTTTGTGTTTATCCTTGTGTATGCTTTGTGTTTATCCTTGTGTTTGTTTTGTGTTTTTTCCTTGTGTTTATTTTGTTTATCCTTGTGTTTATTTTGTGTTTATCCTTGTGTTTGTTTTGTGTTTATCTTTGTGTTTGTTTTGTGTTTATCCTTGTGTTTATTTTGTTTATCCTTGTGTTTGTTTTGTGTTTACCCTTGTGTTTATTTTGTTTATCCTTGTGTTTGTTTTGTGTTTACCCTTGTGTTTGTTTTGTGTTTATCTTTGTGTTTGTTTTGTGTTTATCCTTGTGTTTGTTTTGTGTTTACCCTTGTGTTTGTTGTGTTTATCATTGTGTTTGCTTTGTGTTTACCCTTGTGTTTGTTTTGTGTTTATCCTTGTGTTTGTTTTGTGTTTATCCTTGTGTTTGTTTTGTGTTTACCCTTGTGTTTGTTCTGTGTTTATCCTTGTGTTTGCTTTGTGTTTATCCTTGTGTTTGTTTTGTGTTTATCCTTGTGTTTGTTTTTTGTCTATCCTTATGTTTGTTTAGTGGGTCTGTATCCCTTTGTTTGTTTAGTGGGTCTGTATCCCTTTGTTTAGTGGGTCTGCATCCCTTTGTTTAGTGGGTTTGTATCCCTTTGCTTGTTTAGTGGGTCTGTATCCCTTTGTTTGTTTAGTGGGTCTGTATTCCTTTGTTTGGTGGGCCTGTATCCCTTTGTTTAGTGGGTATGTATCCCTTTGTTTAGTGGGCCTGTATCCCTTTGTTTGTTTAGTGGGACTGTATCCTTTTGTTTAGTGAACCTGTATCCCTTTGTTTAGTGGGTATGTATCCCTTTGTTTAGTGGGCCTGTATCCCTTTGTTTAGTGGGCCTGTATCCCTTCGTTTAGTGGGCCTGTATCCCTTTGTTTAGTGGGCCTGTATCCCTCTGTTTATTGGGCCTGTATCCCTTTGTTTAGTGGGCCTGTATCCCTTTGTTTAGTGGGTCTGTATCCCTTTGTTTAGTGGGTCTGTCTCCCTTTGATTAGTGGGCCTGTATCACTTTGTTTAGTGGGTCTGTATCCCTTTGTTTAGTGGGCCTGTATCCCTTTGTTTAGTGGGCCTGTATCCCTTTGTTTAATGGGCCTGTATCCCTTTGTTTAGTGGGCCTGTATCCCTTTATTTAGTGGGTCTGCATCCCTTTGTTTAGTGGGCCTGTATCCCTTTGTTTAGTGGGCCTGTATCCCTTTGTTTAGTGCGCCTGTTTCCCTTTGTTTAGTGGGCCTGTATCCCTTTGTTTAGTGGGCCTGTATCCCTTTGTTTAGTGGGTTTGTATCCCTTTGTTTAGTGGGTCTGTATCCCTTTGTTTAGTGGGCCTGTATCCCTTTGTTTGTTTAGTGGGTCTGTATCCCTTTGTTTAGGGGGTCTGTATCCCTTTGTTTAGTGGGCCTGTATCCCTTTGTTTAGTGGGCCTGTATACCTTTGTTTAGTGGGCCTGTATCCCTTTGTTTAGTGGGTCTGTATCCCTTTGTTTAGTGGGCCTGTATCCCTTTGTTTAGTGGGTCT